TTTGGGAAACACAATACATTGATGTTACAGAAGGAACTCAATATAAAATTTATTATTTTTTTAATTTAGTTACTTTTCAAGTACATTTTTTTTTCTTTTGATAGAGGAGGAAATTGAGACCTAAAGAGGTGAACCGTCTTATTCAATGTTGCAAAAAGAGGTGTGGCAGAGCAAGGTTAAGAACAGAGGTGGGAGAAGCTGGAGAATAACAGGCATTTATAATATCAGTTTCCACACTTTCTTAATTTTATCCATAAAGAAAACCTTCTCTCATTGCACTTAACTTAGAACTATAAAATTCCAAACCATGAGAACCCCTTACAATTTTTCATTTGATATGATTGTCAGTCTTTTACTCTCTAAGTTGCCTTTCAAATTTACCAACAAAAACCCCTTCAACCAGGAACAAGAAAGTGGCTTAACACATTGTGGACCTAATATTCACAAGGTACTGTGTCAGGCAGTTTAATGAGACACACTCCCTCTGAGTGGAGAGCTCATATAACTCATCAAAAGTCATAGGGTCAGGAAATTGGACGTATCTACCACAAACTGGTTTTTTCTTCCCCATGCCTGCCAGATGATTGACATCAGTCATCTCACAGCTCAGGTAAGAGAAGCTTCACATGCACACTGACTACTAGCACAGTGCCCAGTACATAGTAGGCCCTCGATAAATAAAGGGCAATTCCCTCTGCCCTTCTCTGTAGGTGTCAAGAATAGATCTGAGTTATTGTTATGAATATTTAATAATATCAATATGCATTCATATACAGCATATGTATAATATATTATAAGATACAAAAAATTAATTGTATATGGCTATATTTTTATTTAATTGTGGGAAATATTGTGAAATCTCTATATATTAGCCTACCTTTTCCAGTAATTTTTGCATAGGCATTTTTCTGAAAAAGAAACATCATCAAAAAATTTCACACACTCTGAATGGGAGTTTGAATTCTATTCAGCAAATTTTCCTGTTCTAGAAAAATTGTGTAGAAGGAGATTCATCTGAGATCCCAAAAGAGCAGCATCTCAGGGGTTTGGCTCCACTTTCTGGACTTGTCATTCTTTAGATTGTTCAGAGTATGTCCTATATAAATATTATAGAGGGACCAAGAGTTAGGAAATCTGGGTTGTTTTACATAAGCAAAAATGCATTAATATTTTTTAAGTTTAAAACACAGGCTATGGTAGAACTTTTGATTAACCTAAAACCCTCCTGAAACTGAGTATTATGAAGGCTACTTTTATAACCACAAATTTTAGACATAAGAGCATCAGCATCATGCAGTGGTGTGAAGGTGTCTATAATGGGTGGAAAAGTTCACCTACTGTTGACACTTGAAGATGCCTTACTCATAGTGCAGCCCAAGCTGTCACTTTACAGCTATGCTAATTGGACCCAGAGACAAGTTACAACTGACAGGGTTGGGACAGAACCAGGTAAACGAATGCCAATCAGTAATTTTTTAGATTATTTTTATATACTTTTAAAATATGAATTTCTTTCTGCAAAGAAAAACAGACTTTACTAAGCATAAGTCATATGGTTTCACCTGCTTGCTTGGAACCTTGCAATGATTTTACTCCATGGACACCTCCATCAACACCATCTGTAGCAGGACCCGCTAGGCCCTTTCTGCATCATCTTTATTCTCTCCCATCAGCTCCTTACTCTGCCAGTCTCCCTCCTCCCATGGAGCCCAGTCTGTGCTCTTGCTTCTGCCTGGAGAAGTCTTCCCTTGCTGCTACCTAATTGACTCCCACTCAACTTTGGGATCAAGCCCCACATTCTCAGAGAAATCTTGCTGATCTCCCTGGCCAGGTATAATGTGCATGTACATGCTGTCAGGGCACCTGGTAACATTTCTTCACAGCTCTGATCAGATGTATCTGGTGTACTGAATTACTCAATTGTTTATTCTCCCCACTTGCTATAAACTCCAGCATAGGAAAGATGGTGCCTAGAACAAAATCAATGAATGGGTGAAAATCAGACCTAAAAGTTTCTTCCAGACCTTCCAGACTGGCCAATTTCATGAGGGCCTCTAGAGTCCTGGTCTCAAGCTGCTCAGTCTCCCATAGCCAGTGTAATTAATCCCAGGCCCCCTCCCTAGACAGAGTCAAAAGAGCAGGCTGGAGAGTTGTAACAGCTGAAGGAAAAAAAAAGAGAGGTTGTTGTGGACCACTCTGCCTGATTTCAGGAACTGTAACTCTCTACCCCTTGTGGCTTAGGGATGAGTGAGTGACTACCTCTGGAATGTGAGCCACAGAAGACAAAGTTTGTCTCTGGTAGCAAATACTGCCTCAGTTTCCTCTCCCTGCCCCCAAAGCTTGGTTGGAAGTCAATGACAGGTAAGACCCCTCACAACTGGGGGCAACCTAAGCCGGACTCAATCACTTGGGAGGCCTTCATGGAAGGACTGGGGGGGGGGCTGCAACAAAGAGCAATGGACTCTCACTGCCCCCTAGCTTTGCCATGGCCCGAGTCCCCATGTTCTCTGGGAGAAGTACTTCCTAGCTCTAATCCCCTTAAGCCTGAATACCTGATGGGGAGAGGTGCAGCGCCTTGCCTTGCTAGAGCATGTCCTAGGGGAAAAATCTGGCATCACAAAGACTTCCTGACAAACCTGTGAAAATCTGCTCTGCTAAAAGTGCTTTCATTCATATGTTAAGGGTTCAAGCAGAAAATCGTAAAACTCTGCTCCTGACAGACTTGGACTCATAGTAAGCCCTCAGATTTCTTTGAAATGTTATCTACTGTTTGATCCTTGCTGCCCTGTATTCCTGTGTATTAGAACCCAATAAAAGACTATAGAGGAGGGGGCTTGAGGCCTTTTTCTCCTCTGAGAAACTGGCCGCTGCTGGCCTTTTTCCACTGTGAAACTGGCCACTGCTCACTTCTCCTCCCCAAGCAGATCACATCATGTCTCAGTCATATTCACTCTCATCCGTGGCACATGGGGGGACATGCGAGGGAAGTCACCCTCACAAGAGGTTCTTGTTCCTGGGTCACTTTCTCTGGAAGAGAGAATCTCAGGATTATGATAAAGAAGAGAGAAAACTAACAAAGGAGCCAGATAGACTCAGGCTACACAATCAGGACCAGACCTGAGTCAGGCTGGGAGGAAAGAAGAGAGAAAGTAAAGAAAGAGATAAAAGGAGGTACAATATCTGGATGTTAGCATTTGAGGGCATGTAATAAGCGGCTCCTGAGCAGCTGTAGGATATGGAAGACATGAAGAGGAGAGAAAATGGGGCTTTAAAAGTATATTATGGGTTATGAACTGGATTCCTTCACTGTTTTTTTTTTCAGAGAAGCAGAAATGCCTGTTGCTAAGCAATGGAGGCTGCAACTCAGGTGTACAATTTGAAAAGCAAAGTGTTTCCTTACACTATTTTTTGATATGTCAATGCTAGTCTGGTCTTCTGGCATGCCATTCTCTGCAAAAACTAGACCATTTCAGAATTTTTTTTAGCTGTATGGTTTATCTATGAGTGGTTCCTAGACAAAGATAGGTGGATATAATCAAACTCAGTCTGATCATCCCTGGAAAAAGAGTGAAGAATTAGAAGTTGAAAGGTAACTTTTAATTTTCATACATAAATTTCTGTACTATTAATATGTTCCATAGTTTATGCCGCTTATCTAATTTTTAAACAATAAATGTAAAAGGCATTGCATGCTCATGTTAATTGCAGAATAAATAGCACTTGACTTCCTACATTGCAGGTGCCACTTGACGATACAAGAGAAAATCATGGTCCTGGGCAAGGTTGCTCCCAACTCTGAATGGGGTCCAGTGACTGAGCAGCAAGTTCAAGAGTTTGGAGGGAGGGACAGTCTGATTTGTGGAGCCAGAGGTTATTTAGATGGGCAAAGGCAGCATAACAGTCAAGATGACATTATGTGTCTGTCCCAGGAAGACTCAGCAGAACTTGCTTGGAGGCAAACATGAGATTGACTGCTCTTGTTCATCCATTTGTTTATGTGTATGCCAAACATCTCATCTCCGGTGCTCATGCCCCAGGCCTCATAGAGCTGCTTTGAATAGCAGTTGTCGCTCTACCTATATTTTAAATGTGTGTGTTTACAGTTTCTAGTTATAAAAATCCACTCCAAAGCCTCTAGGGTTAGCAAAGCAATGGAGAAGGACATGCTGCTGAGGAAGGCTGACTGGCCTTGGGACCCAGATGCTTATCCCACAAAGCTCACCTTCGCCTTGGAGACTTTTCACTTCCTTCTGGGCTGTCTCCCCAAAGCTGACACAGGAAATGTCTACCTGCTTCAGAGAGTCCTAGCCTCTTTCCTCAGGACTTTACCCTATGGCCACAGGAGCACAAGCCTATCAGATGAGAAAATGTAACCCACAAAGCCTCCATTGGTTCTAACCACTCGCACAGTAGTAGGGGCATCATCCAGTGATCCTCTTGAGCAGATCTGGTTTCATACTTCCTTAAATATCCAGGAAGATGAACTTTGAGTCTGCTTATACTCAGAGAACGTGCTACCCTGAGGACCTCATCATGGCCAAACCCTCTCCTCGTACTAATCACAGGGCGGGCAAGAAGCATCCCTCAACCTTCAAATATCCACCCTCAGAGGCTGCTAACTTGCAGAAGGAAGTGTACTCACAGCATTCTAGAATGCACAGTGATCCCCTGCTGGAATTGCACCAGCTCAGTCTGCTTGGTCATGTCCATGCAGACCTTTCCTCTAGCTGAAAAGAAAGAGTAAGAGAGGAAGACAGAAGAGTTTCTGAGGAAAAAACGTGGACCAAATACACAGACAGGAAGTCACTGAGTTGCATTCAAAAGTTTATTCTTACCAAAGTTTGTGGGTTGTGCTAACTCTGGCAGGCTGCCTTCATAAAGAAGCAAAGTGCAGAAATGAAGCAATGAGGTTTACTGGGAAGACAGGGAGGGGTCCAGGGGCTGGTGAAGTTCTAGAAGGTAGAGCAGGGAGTGAATTAGGGAGCAAAGCTGTTTCTTTTTTAACAGCAGCTGTCATCCTCATGATCACAACAGCATTCGGGACCTCGGGACCTCATGGGTATAATTCCCAAACAGCCTATCCCAGAGCCGCAGCACCCAGAGCCGCAGCATCCAGAGCTGCAGCATCCAGAATCCTCACAGCAGCCAGCTGATCCTGAATTGCAGTCCTGGGGTCGTTGGACCCAGCGTCTGAGGGGGCTCACTCCGAAGGTCCGGGGAGCCAGACAGCTGTAGCTGGTGGAACAGGGAGCAGAGCATGGATCAGGGACATAGGACAGGGAGCCTGAGCCACCTGCAGGAGCCTGAACATAGTAGGTCTGGCAAGGAGAAGTATACTGAACATAGTAGTATCTCTGGGTCTGGCATGGAGCTGGGCATTTCACATACGTCTGGCAGGGAGTTGGGCATTTCACAAGCGTCTGGCAAGGAGTTGCACATTTCACGTATGTTTGAGTTGGGCACGGAGCTGGGCACTTCACACAGGGTGCCTGGCATGGAGCTTGGCATGCCACATAGGTTTGAGTTGGGCATGGAGCTGGGCACTTCACACAGGTTGTCTGGCATGGAGCTTGGCATGTCACATAGGTTTGAGTTGAGCACGGAGCCACACCTTTCACAGAAGTAACTTTGGCACCTTGCCCAGCCCCTAATCCAGAACCTTTCACACAAGATGGAGGGAACTGCACCTGCTTCTGCTGGTCACACATCTTTCTGTGACTTTGCAAAATCTGAAAGGAAAGTTTTCATCAGAACTAGAGAGATTTCCAGGGCACCTATAGCAGCAATAGCCTTTCAAGAAGGTCACAGGCACCCAGAAGCTATCAACCAGGCATTAAGGTGGACTCAGCCACCTTAGGCTCAGCTCTTGTTCTTTTCTCTGGCTGTGTAACTTTGGATAAGTCACCACTCACCACTGGGCTTCAGTTTCCGTAATGAGAAATGAAGTGCTTGAACCAGTGATGTTTGAATTTCTACTCAACTCTCTAAGCCTCCCCTCCCCTTACTCATTTTAGTGTCTGCATTATAAATTCTTCTTGGAAAATGGTTGTTTCCCATTGATTTTACTTTGTCATCAATTCGTTCAATAGTGGCTTTCCTTCCTCCTGCTCAGCCAGGCATGCCCAGGGAAGGCAATTTCACGTCAATAGACTCGAAGCCAACATGAGTCTAGAGCTGAGCCTGACAGACCCTAACAAGGCCAAATTTGAATAAGTGTCCACCATTGCTCTTTAGATCAGCTAGACTATCACTTTACCTCATTAATGGACCCAACAGAGGGTGGCATAACTGTACTCAGAGAGAGAGAAGAGTGACCTAATTCTCTGATAATCCCTTTTCCCATAGGCCTAATGGCTCCACTCGTACCTCTTCCTCTCCTCCAATCCTCCAAGCTCATTCCTACCAGCTACTGCCATCAGCTGCCCTCAGTCCCTAATCCTGACCACCCTCACCCCACAGATTTCCATGCCAACTTCAGCAAGTCTCTCTTTCATGCTACGTTGTTAACCCAAGTACAGAGACTTACCTTCTTTTTGACAGGAGCAAGACTGGAAGAAGTCAGTAATCTGAGGATCTGGCTTTGGGGAGACCTTTTATAGGGCAATAGTGAAGCAATTTAATGGCATCTGAATGAAGCACCAGCGATCACGAGGACAAGGGCTGGCATTGCGTTGGTGAGATTCCTCCCCAGTGTGCCTGGCTCTTAAGTCATAGGCAGGGCATGTCTCTGCTTGATTGAATTTTCCTGAACATGAGATAAATGATTCCTGATACCTTCTTCATGAAACAAGTCAGTCTTCCTGTACTAGAAGTCAGGAGATGAGATCTGTCCCTATTAAGCTGTTTCTAGGTTGCTTGAGTATTCATGGACTTCTCCAAAATGTGGTTATAGGCTCAATTTTTCCTATGCTGTGCCAGAAGCTACAATTGCATCTTCTCAACCTAAATGGTGTGTTCTTTCTGAGGTTTTCCACAGTGGCTCTTGCTGGTCTGGGCTGCTGCACAAGAAGAGTTTTGCTCAGTGGTCTCTGCCTCAATATGGCAGCAAGGCCCTCATAAATGGTTTGTTCCATAGGCTGACAGGTTATTCTAAGTCTATTTGGGAAACTAGGTGAGTTCTTGATGATCCCAGACTCTAGGATCTATATCTAGGCTGTCTCTCTTCACCATCTCAAGCCCCATGACCTCCCTATTCTCATCTTTCTGAACCTCATTTCTATGCCTAGATGCCCAAGAGCTCATGCAGGGGGAAGTCCAGCCAAATGAACACTGTGTGATAACAATAACAGTAGACTCTAACACTTAGTTGAATTCTCTTTACATGCCAAACAGTTCATGAGGTGTACACACTTATAGATGGCCCTATCACTGAGGACCTGAAAGACTAAGGAAGTTACCTTGAAGCTAGATTTTTATATGTGGGCAGTTAGCTTTCATAAGGCCATGATCTTTATCACTACAACACAATGCCTCTTGTTTCTGGACATAGCATTGTCCCTGGATCTCTGCCTCATTTCCTTTCCCCAGTGCAGTGTATATAGGGAGAAAGGTAGAAATTATATGTTTTGAGAACTTACTATGTACTAAATACTGTCTTACTATTTTATCTATTACTTCATTTGATCTTCACAATAACCCTGTGATATAGGCTATGTTTTACAGAAAGAAAAATAAGACTCAAAGGCCTAACAATTTCACCAACATCATCCCATTGAAAGTGGGGTATCATTTGAACCCAAGCTTGTCTAGTTTCAGAGTCCATGTTCTTTCCACAAAGCTATGTTGAGTTGCCCACTATAGAAAGTTATCTTGCTCCTGCATCTAGCACTGGTTCCCAATAGCCATGCCTTCAAATCAGCCAGCCCAGGCGCCACCATGGTCCCTGTGGCCTCTCAGCTGAAAGGTGCTTCTGCATTTGTCCCTAATGGATCCTCATATACCCCAGGACCCACAAGCCTTTATGCTCTAAAGTTTCCTCAGTTAACAAAAAAACCCACAATGCAAACCCCTACTATTTCATAAACACTTCCCACTCCAAACCAGGTCTTTTAAAGTCTGTCCCTGAACAATTTGGTGGAGGTGAGAAGGGGAGATCCTGCCCCAAGATTGGCAAGTTTCCTATTTCCTCCTGCCATTAGTGCTTCTGGTGGGCTTGTAACACTCCATAGCTTCCTCTGTGAAGTCTACTGGTCCCTCTCCCCAAGGGGATGGTGTAAGTGGGGAGGAATGTGGTTTTAGGATGTTTCAGTGCCTGCTCTTTCTCCTCAGTTAATACTCAAGCCTGATGTTTTATGGAGGAAGGAGAAAAGGGATGATCTTTCATTAGGGCTAGACACTTTACATGTCATAGCTTATTAAATTTTATTCCTATAATAGTGTCTCAAATAAATAAGTAAACAAACAAATGTGCCCAGGTTCACATAACTGGAAGTGATAGATTCAGAATTTGAACCCAGGAATAAGAGACTTCAAATTTTACTGTTTTTTCCACAATAACATGCTGCTTCCAGTATTAAAATCCATGATGTTTTAGAAAACATACCTTTCAACACCTAATAAACACAGTCAAGAAGCTCACTATCTTACATGCAGGATGGAACAGCTCCACTTTACCAGGAAGAAAATCCCCTAGAAGGCCAGTCATTTCAGGGCGCATCAACAAGAGAGAGAGTTCAAGGCAGAAACAGAACAAAGCCCTTGTCCTGGTTCTGCCACTGTCTCATAAGGTGATGCCACTCTGCCCTGCTGTGTCTTCCACCCTAAATTATTTTCATTAAATTTTTCAAGGTAACATTGGTTAATAATATATAATTTTCAGGTGTATAAAATTATATAATTTGACATCTGTATACTTTAATGTGTGCCCCCCACCCAGAGTTTAGTATCTACCCCAGCCCCTCTTGCCCTCTGGTAAACACCATTCTGCTGTCTGTTACCCATGTGGGTTTTTTGTTGTTTTATTAGTTTCTTTGTTACTTTTTTTTTCATATTCCACATATGAGTGAAATCATAGGGTTTTTGTCTTTTTCCATTGATTTATTTCACTTAGCATAACATGCTCAAGATCCATGATGTTGTCACAATGACAATATTTCATCTTTTTTATGACTGAGAAATATTATGGAATACTGTGATATAAATAATGGAATGTGAGAGATAGATAGGTAGATAGATAGATGATAGATAGATAGATGATAGATAGATGCCACATTCTTCTTTATCCAATCATCTGTCAATGGCTCTTCTACCCTAAGATAGTTAGATGAGGCCCCTCCTTGGATAGTCTATGATTGTAGAAGACTATCCTACAAAGGAAATGTGCCTTTCTACATCCTAGCCATCCATGGAGTTATTCCCACTAGACTGTATGTAATTCCATGTGGTGGTAACTGTGGATGCATTCATTGTATGTCACTTGGCTCTAGCACAGGACCTGGGGACCACTGACTAGACACACATATAAATGGATGAATGAGTGGGGATGCTTTACACTGACAGTGTACCCTAGACCAGCTTCCTTCCTCCATGTGGTGAGATCCCATTCTACCAGTAGCCAATTTGTGTGTCTTTTGCCATCTGTGAGCTCTGATTGGCTCACTTCCTGCTCCGTGGAGTCAGGTTCTCACTAATGGGTTTGACATCTTCAGGCAGCACTAATATCCCTGGTGAGAGATGATGTTTTCATGTGCCACCAAAACAGGTGGGTGGGTAGTGCCCTGCCCATTTTATAGGCTGGGAAGGCAACGCATGGTGACTGGTACAAGTGCCGGGGTGACTCACAGGGTTATCTTCAAACCTATTTTTCTTTTTGGATACAAGCTCATAGAATCAGAAACTTGTAGATTCATGCAATAGTAGTTCAGTAGACTCATAGGGCAACAGGGACAGATATTTATGAATTCACAGAATCAGAACCCCGGCATCTCTTAGGTGGAGGGAACTAACACACGTCACCTGTTTGGCCCCTGCCTGAAGATACAGGTCATCTGACCTAATGGGCAGTTCATCTTAGGAAGATCTTCTGGCCTCTAAGAGTTCTTTGCAATCTCTCTGGTTAGCTCATTTCAGGACTTACTACAATCTTCATAGTCAGGAAACATACTAGATTATCCCTAAAGGTCCCTTATAGCATCAGCATCTACAAATCCTGACATTAATTACATGTTTGAAGCTGTGCTCCTCAAGGCATGAACCCCACGAAGATTTTAACTCAATGGTATCACCAGCCTTAATCAGGAAAGCAGAGTAGTAGATGCTCAAGTTGACATATTGCTCCCAGAGGACAGGGCCTGGGTCTCCTCTCACCCTGGGAGTTTCCTTTGACCAGTGACTGGAGACACTCTGAGAGTAAAATCTGGGGGTCCCTTTTGTGTGTGTGTGTGTGTGTGTGTGTGTGTGTGTGTGTGTGTGTGTGTGTGAAAAAGAAGTAGAAGGAAGTGGCAAGCCACACATCTAGAAGAGGAAAGACACAGGAACATTGTATCCAGCAAGAAATCTCTTTTCTGTGTAAGACTAGAAGACAGTGCAGAGACCCCTCCCTTAGAGCCCATCCCATGTCCATGTCTGTGTTCTGGGCTCAGCTCTGAGACTTGCCCCAGAATCCCTGCACCATTATTTCAGGAACAATCAGGGATCTCTCCTAGATTACTGAGTCATTATATTGTAGGACCACAGAATGGACAGCCAGCAAGGACCATTAAAGCACAGG